TACCTCTGCGTGACTGTTTGCTTGCATTAGCTTGAACCTACAGATACTATGGGTCTTTAGAATGAGGTGGCCTCTATAAGACCAGTTGTCCCACAAACCAATTTGGCATGTGTGTCACATCATTCATCAGGATTATGGGAGATGCAAGCTTAGTTTATGGGATTTCTGCATAATTAATATGCAAATGTGTTCTTATCCACATGCCATTGAATGCTATTTGGAGGAAGTGCGGTAATGTACTCAAACTGGCTGAATCTGGTAAAATGCTCATATCTGTTTTAGTGCTTTGAAACACCATGCAGTCTGTTTTTTTTCCTTGAACATTATATCCCAGGTTGAAAATCCTTGGTTTTGCTGCAAGCTTTAATGGCTAAACATCGTTTTATATGGCTTTTGTTTGCGAAAACTGGTTCTATACAGTTATATTAATATGACGTTATTACTGGTATTATGTCATTGATTTCGCTCCGAACCTAATGTGGAAAATTATAGGCACGGTGTTCTTCATTAACAGCAGGTAGCCACCAGCCATTTGGATTCCCAGCAGAAATAGTCATGGACACTTTGATGCTAATGATCCTGGCCCTGTATTATGCTGTTCAGTCTACTGTATGTAGGTGTTTTCAGCGTAGAGCTCCAGCTGTGTTAATAATTCCAGTAAAGTGTAGCTAGCAATACATCACCGGTTGCTATGCCAACACGGAACCACAAAGCTTTGTTCTGTCTTTTCTTTTTCTTCATCTGCATTTGTGCTAATTCAAAGAAACTGTCTACAGAACACCTGTGTTGGTCATTTTTGCATAAAAGCTCATAATCCCTGGTTCTTTAGGGTGATTATGAGTGTATCTCTGCAGCCCACAATCATGAATCATGATAAAATTCTTGTATATCCGTGCTATATTATTCCAAGGGCAAATAATCCAGTTACATTAAACACCTCTGTGTATGTAGGATATAAACTTGCTGATGGCCTTTATAGGCAGTTTTTCACAGCCAGGGGTACTTTTAGCCTAGGGGATACTTCTACAATTGCCAGGGGGTACATGAAAAGATTTAGTAGCTCAATTAATTTGAAAAAAAAAATGAATGATTATTATAAATTGATTAAAAAGAATTGATCATCCACCAAACCAAACCTGAATGAATCCAAACCTGGACACTGCAAAAATAGTTAACAAGTGAGCAAAAAAGTTGAACCTGTTAGCTAGTCAAACAGTTTAAATAGTTATAAAAGTAAAGTACAAATGGTTGAAATAGTAAGCTAGAAGTAATAAACCTAGATAAATTATTTAAATGATGTATTTAAACACAGACTGAACACAGACAGTTCATCTTGTAACAATATACAATTTATATAATTAACAATGTTAAACAATGTCCAGTTGAAAATAATTCCAAATGAACACATATGAAGGTGAGTTCCTCTGTCAGGGCTGTGGTTGTACTTTCAAACACAGAAGATGCCCTACATATATGTTGGAATAGATGGACGACTTCAAGCAGACAAAACAGTGGAAGTGGGTCAATACATCCTTCCAAACTCCAAAAAGGGTTGAAATGGCCAAAAAATGCATAGTGTGAGCCCCCAAGTCTTTCAGAGTTTAGACTAGTATAAATGGGAGGACTGAAACAATATTTCTCTTCTATACATATGGAGACAAGAAAGGCACACTGAGGCACTCAGGCCCATCCAGCCAACTTGACGTACACTATACCCTGACAAATTTATTACCATTAAGCCTCTGTAAGGTACCATGTGACTCATGATTTATTACAATCACCTGCTGTGTGTCTGCGGGTTTGGTGGGATGCAGAATTGCCTGTGCGTGCATTGGCTGATAAAATGCACAGCATGTGTCTAACAATTAAGTATTTACGTGTTTTCTGTTGGGGCAAAGACAGAGAGTGATGGAGATCATTACTGTATGCCATTTGAATACATTTATCGATATTTGAAAACACTGAATCCTGTTGCTTCTTTCAATGAACAGAGACCCCAGGATACATGTATGTATTTGTGCAGGTGCATTTGTTTTCTTTAGCAAACAAGCAAACAGAATTCACTACAAAATCCCCTGTAATGATTATTTATTAATAATCAACTACATTATTAAATAATTTAAGCAACCGCCAGGATACAGTTCTCTCTACCTGTTACAAGAATAAGATTCCCTTTCTCAGAAACGTACATAAATGTGATTTACAAGTGGTTTCTACATGTGTGTAAGTGTGACAAAAAAAGAGGCAGGAAACCAATTGAGTGCACATGTTTCATCCCTGGAAGGCATAAAGAATTGATGACCTGTGGTGATATATTTGGAATATCATTTCCTGTAATAATTTGCTATGGGGAAAAAGAGATGGAAATTTGCTGTAATGCTATTCTACTTTATAAATCCTGTTGTGCTAAAATAAGTAAAAAAAAAAAAAAAAAGTGCATATGACTTTGGGCAGATACACGGACAGGGCAGAGGCTTGCAGACATCTCTGCATACATGATTACAGTCCATTATTCTGCCCTTGGTTCAATCCTGTTACGTTACACATCATATACATGTGAGTCTTTGTACATATTATGCGAGGAAAATTGAATTTCACATAGTCCTGCGTGTTCACTTAAGTCTTCTAAGCATGAGAAAATCTAAATTTCATTTCAATAAGCCTTGTTCTTGCTCAGCCATTGGGGGTCACTTACAAGGGTCTGATTCAATTATTCTTCCTTTCACAACAGGAGGAAAACATTTTCATGGTGAATGGTTTGCCTAAATAGATTACCATCTCAAATAATTCAATTTCCGTTAATTTGATTGATTTCATACCAAGGGGGAAAAGAAATCTTAATTTAAAACCATTGCATTTCTAATCAAACATTAACTGAGAAAGAGGCCTGGGTGAAAATCTTTTTATTACCAGTTTCCCCACTAATTTAAATAGAAAATGCTGACGGCTGCCCTATTAAATGGCACAACCAGTATTCAGTGTATCACTAGCTCTCCAAAACAAACTGCTTAACCGTTTGCAAGCCGCATGACCGTTTGGCGCATAACACACAGATTGCGCGCACACACATACACAGAGAATCTATGACTGGCCATTACTACAGAGGATCCAGATGAAGCAGTTCAGTCATCTGATCCATTCCCATCCATTATTCATCCCGCTCGGGGAGACAGAGACGCTGGGCTTCTCTTCTCAGAGAGACCCAGGAACCCCATCTATTCTCATGAGCAAAGGAAATGCCATGCAGTAGTGGAGTGAATCACCGACACAGCAAAAGAGTGAGAGAGGGAGCGAGAGAGAGAGAGAGAGAGAGACTGGGAGTGAAAACAAAAGTTGTGAGTGTGGGGAATTGTGAGTGCACAGGAACTGAAATGAACCATCAGGTGTACTGTAAATCAAATTATTATAAATCCAAAAAAAAAAAAAAAAAGTTACAAATGCGAAAAACAAAAATACAAAGTGTTGAAATATAACTTATTGAGCATACCTCCACCAGGTGCACCTTGCAGACTGATGCCTACCAGTGCTATGCTGTCGGAAAATAAAGCAGCTTGGCTGGTGCTGTGAGGAGAAAACACCTTGTGGAGACATTGTGTGAGTGGCAGGCAGAACTGGCAAGCTGCCACAGATAATAACATCTGAAATAAATTTGATGTGTGGAATTGAATCTGTAGTGATAGGGACGGCTGCAGCATTAGAGTGAAGTTCTAAATGCTATCTACTCATCCATGGAATGAGGACTGACACGCAGTCTCAGAGAATAGATTGTGCAATTAGCAGCCTTTGTGCTGTTTCGACACAATGAAAAAGGGAAATGAGATTCAACGTTGTCATGCACGCTCCTCTGTAGCTCTGTGATTCCCATAAGATATTCCAAATGTACCATGTTTCAGGTGAGAATAAGTTGGGAGTTGAACATTATGAGATATAATAAAGCACCCACACACACTGAGAGAGGAAAGGGAGTTCAGCTGGTCACACTTATTAATAATCTGCAGTATTTCATTTCCATTCAAGCAGTATGATTTGAAATTGTGAAATTTTGATATGATTGTTCTCAGCTTTGGAGGAGCATACCACCTCTTCAGCACTGTCAGCTTCAATTATACAATGTAATTCCCCATTTAAGGAAAAGGGGGCGCTCTTTGAGTAGGCATTGAGCATAATGGCTTGAGAAACAGAGTTTCACCAAACTTTACAGAATACTCCTTTAATTAAACAAGTTTGTATGTGCTATTACCACCAACGTTGCAGTTGTTTGTGACAGGAACATATTTTTTTATTTAATTCCTTTTAAACAACAAAACCTCAGTGAAAACTGTTTAACTCTACATGTTATAATTTGACTTTCTTCTTATGAAAAGTGGCACAAAGGTATGTTGCTCCTAAAAGAAAAATAACACCCCTCTGTTTTTCTCTGCAGCCTTTAAAGTGTCATAAAACAGACTAGAATACACACTCCGTTTAACAAACAGCAGCTTGCACTGCTATTGGCCTGTCTACTGTATAATAAACATAAACTAAATGCTGTTTTATCTGAGAATTATTTGTGCCTCAGCTATAAAACCAAAGTGCAGTCAGTTGAGGAGCAGGCTGGTCTCACCCACATGAACTAACAGACCATAACCATAAAAGAAAATTACTATAATATTCCTATAAAGTGTCTGTGGTTCTCGGTGGTGAGTTTATGGTTACCTCACCGCGCTCCATGGTATTTTACACTTCCCTTGTTGTCACTGTAATATTCCTTCAATATTCCTATTGGGCATTACAGTGTGTCTTTGGTGTTACAGTGGCAATCTACGCGGAAAATAATACAGTTTTGACATTTTTTAGAATTCTCCTAAGGTATCCGTGTAATATTCGTATACAATTTTATAGGCCTAGATGTCATTGCAACATAATGCAGCCCAATATGATAGCAGGCTCCCTGCTTGAGCCCTCCCTCCGCCTCTCATGTGTCTACATTTTCATCCCATGGCCGTCTCTAGGTGATTTAGCGCCGCCAGTCTCAAGCAGGTGTCCAACATGGCGATCACGGGGAGCGGATCTCTCGCTGTTTCTCTCTCTGTTTTCGTGATTTCAGCGGCGTTTCTTCCGAAAGGTAAGTTTTCTTTTGCTGTTTTGTTTGTGTCTGTGATGCAGAATTACCCCATCCACAAGCTAAAGCCCGAGGAGTACCGGGGAGAAGTTGTGGTGCGTTTGCGCGCTAGATGCGCACAAGCTTCCCCTGAAATCTCAGCATCACTTTCTATTGCTCTGATACTGCTGTCGACTCCAAAAGCCCCGCGCTGTTTCTCTACACTGTAAGGGCACTTATGTCGTGGATTAGCGCTAATTTGAAAGGGTGTTGTCATGAGTTTTACTGCAAAGGCTACAGAGGACTGCAATAGAAAGTAATGTTAGTGCTGCACAATTGAAGAGGCGGAGAGAAAGTATCATAAGTGATAACCGAGTGAAATAGTCGTACAGTATGTAGACCTGGGGCAAGTTGAAGGCAGTGCTCACTGGAACGTGGCTCTTTATTATCAAATGAGACCGATTTTGCGACCACGAGAGAACACGGCTCAAACGCACTTGTATCCTCCAGTCATACCGCATGAACCCTCACAGTCCAAACTCAACACACTGTCTAAAAATCTTTTAAGTCTGCGCTTCAGGTGCGCTTTGGAGGAAAAACACGCATTGCAGCTCTAGTCTCGCACAGTGTCCTCTGGCCGCACAACTGCAGCCTCTGAAGCCAGTGTGTGTATTCCCGTCTGCAGTCTTCACTTCTCCTGTTAGTGAGGCTGGAGATGTAAATCTGCCATGTAGCTGTTGGGCTTTACACCAGTGCAACTGCATGAACCAGGGGCGCCTAAATGTGCACGACCATTGCGGTCCCCTAGTCCGATCGTTTCCCCGTCATTCCGCCGCGGTTGCATCAGAGTTGCATGCGTCAGTGTCTTTTTTTTTTCCTGGAAAACGTATCCGCTGACAATACTGACGCATGTGAAACGATTAAAATGTCAGCTTGCAGCCGCTTTAAATCCCTCCCAGCGGTAGGATGGGATACGTTGTTGTGTTGTCAAACCCCAGGTTGTCAAAAGGGAAAGCAACAGTTGCAATGACAGGTTTACACTTGAAGTCTTGAGTGACTTCTTAGTGTTTTAATTTCAGTTTCAGTTATTACCACTAACTACTATACAGTGGTGGTATCTGCATCACCCATCAACAGGTCTGCTGTGTGTGTGTGTGGTGAGAGCAACCTGCTCCCAAAACCAGAATGAAGTTACAAGTTAAAGGATTTTTTTTATTTTTTATATTACAGCTCACTGCTTACCAGGCTTTCATTTCATAGTTGAATTTATTATGGTCTGCGTGGAATAGCAGCTGAATGACATTTGCAGCATTGTCTAGCGTCTCCTTGTCACATTAATTTAATTAACCTCTCAGTCAAATAAAATAATGCATCATGAATGCGCAATAACCTCAAGCTCAATACACTGAGGGTTGCAGCGTTAGGAAACTTATGCAGCCTCTTGGCTCAGGTAAAATCCTCAAGCAAGAATTGGTCTAATCTGACCTCAGGTATTCCAGTTGTTTGTCTGTGTGCCAGCTGCTGGAAGGAAAAACAAGGCCCAAGCTCTTGCTTTGTGAATTGCTGACAGTCAGCTTCCAATTTTCTTTTGTTAATCATCCAGAATCAGTGGATTTGAACTTTGCCTCCATATCTGGTGATAGAAGAACAATCCAGCTAACTGGATGGGCAATCTGTTTATTATAAAGATACCAAGGAAAGAGGGTTAATTAAAGAAAGGGAGAGAGAGACAGCTGATCCTGGACATCATAAGGGGAAGTTGTTCTGATAATGACTGCTGAAACGAAAGAGCTGCTTCGGCTGAGCATCCTGTTATGATATGCGGAGACTTTGCATTTTAACAAAGAATCTGTTTAGCAGCATTTCTCTCTCCCTGCATCTCCCGGGGTTCGGCCTGTTGTAGCATATCAGATGGTCGAATTTCAGAAGGTTGCATAATCCCACTTATTGCCAGTTTAAAGTCATTCGTCAGGACTGAGTGATGGTGAAGTGGATCAATACAAGCTGTCATGAAGCCTCAAGGCACCACTGAAGGACAGCATCTAAGAGAAAACAAAAGGAAACGTACAGTTGTTACGGCGCTCTTGGTTGCCAGTTGCCATGTGACATGGTGAGTGATTGAAGATGTCCATCTCTGGCTGCTCATGGTGGGGTTTGGCTTTGAAACGGATATTGCTGAAATAAGCTGGCAGTGTGCTGCTCTGCCCTCAATTTGTGTTTGTTCCTCTCTTCTTATTCCCTCAGTTACCATTTAAAGGCTGATTTCCTGGTGCTTTTTGCTTTCTCTCAGATTTATGCCTACAGGAAGTGCTGTCATACTTGTATGTGCATACTTCTGTTGAATGCCAAATATAAGGTCATTAAAAGGAGCAGAGAATTGGGGCCAGAGGTGGCAGAAGTATTCACATCCTTTAGTCCTGCATTCAAAAATTTGAGAATAAACATATATACATTGTAAACTGAATATTTCTTGCTATACAGTTCATTAACTCCCGGATTATATTCACTGATATATTAACAGCATGTGAAAGCAGCAATCTCATGTTTATGATTGGTCAAGATAGAGGCTAAATTGAACTACTTTTGGGTAGTTAAATCTACAAAAATGCAGCTGATTTTATTAGTTTATACTTGGTTTTGTGTGTGAAATGTCATTCTGCAAAGTGACTAGTAACCACTAGTTGTTGAAGAGGAGTAACAAGTACAATATTTGCCCCTCAGATGTAGTGTAGAAGTATAAAGTAGCATAAAACACAAATATGTGTAAGTGCAACTTCATCAAAAAGCACAGCACTTTACAGTACATTCCGCCACTAACCAAGACGGTGACTAATGATTATTTTAATTATAGATTAATCTGCCAATTACTTTCTGGATTAGATGATTGATTACCTGATCTATTGAATATGGGAGGAGGGGGGAAATCACAATTTCCTAAAGGCCGTGGTGACGCCTTAAAATGGCTTCTTTTGCCTGATCAGTGGTCAAAAAACCCAAAGTTTAACAGGTTATTATCAAATGAGACAAAGAAAAGCAGCAAATCCTGACATCTGAGAAGCTGGACCAGAGAAGGTTTGGCAAATCTCAAGAAATGACTCAAACAATTAATTGATTATCAGAATTGTTGCTGATTAATTCTCTGCAGATTGATTAATTGCGTAATCGTTTCAGCTCTAAGTGCATCAGTGCCAACGCTGTAGCAAAATGAAGTGTTCTTCTCTCTACTCTCTGTATAAAATACTGCTTACAGTACCATGTTTCAGGAGAAATTTAATACAGCACTTAATGGCCCATTGATATGTGCACACTTGTGAAGTATTTCATAGCCTGTACGTTGATATCACCACAGTACATCATTTGTAACAATAATATACTCTTCTATTTAAAGAAATTGAATTTATTGCTCATTAAATTTACATTAAACTCTGCTTAATAAGCCTTACTCTAATTGCTAGATAATGCATGGCACTACTTTATGTGGTGGCAGCTAATCTTACTGTTGAAAAGGGAGGGGCTGGCAGAGAACTGGCAGCTGATGCATGTAAGGAATTTTTAGCCATTAGTAGCAGATGTAACAAAGTCATGTGGGCTATGCGGTCATCATTTCACTGAGGACATCACACCTCCGGGCTGTTTCTTTTTTCCCCCTGCTTTATCTGCTCTGAAATTAGCTGCTGTGCAATCTGTGTGAAGGCACAAGTTCTCATCTGTAAGTCGAATGTATTTAAGCCATCACGGCCTCGCCTGTGCATGGGCGGTGTGTGCATGTGCATCAAACTTCACACTCTTTTGGAGATAGCTTATAAAATGGTCCTGAGCGCAGAGGTGCCTTGCAGCTCACAGTGAATAGGCAGATTTAGTATTTGTCCTTCCAAGTCGGAGGTTGTAGCAAGTCAGCCAGTTTACACAGAAAGAAGTTGGTTATGGAGGTCCATGTTGGAAAAAAAAAATTGAAAATCGCTTTCTGTCCTTGACTTCATATTCTTTTCAGTTTCTGAAAGACTCCAATCTCTCCTTAAAAACATCACCTTGGGTGCCAGGTACATGGCGTTTTTGTCCATGTACTTTTATAGTGGGACCTTCAAGTAAATACTGTATCTGATTGTTTTGTCAAGGTCACGGGGGTGCAGCTGTAGACATGCTATCACTTTGAATCATGTAGAAAATATATATATATAAAAAAGAAAAAATCTGGACATTTCTATGCAAGGGATTTGTACTGCGGTGTCAAACTGAATGACAAACTAAGGACGATCAAAAACGTGTCTGACTGTCTGTGTTGAAATGTAGTAAACAGTCAATTAGCAGAAACAGACAGATGACGGGTCCTTTCATGACTGTGGGGACAGAAGCTTCCATTCATGACTGTGCTGTGGTAATGAGGAGGAGAGCTGATGTGTCCGCTTATGAATATGACATTGTTCTCTCTGTTCCCTGGATCTGAGAGACCTCACTCTATTGGCTGTGATGCGTAGACAGTGTCAACCAGGTCCACAATGAAAAAAATGGAAATGCAATGTTTTTGTTTAGAAAAGGGGCATAGAGTGCACATTAGTATGGGTGATGGAGTAATTACAAGCCACCATTAAGGCTGTGGAGCAGTCAAAGCACAGTACTTTCTTAGTGAAGAACTCCACTGGGCAGATATGCTTTGCACTTTAAGTCAACCAAAATTTTTAACAAATGAGAATCCAGTTCAGTAAAATGGAGATACTTCCCGGGGGGGGGGGGGGGGATCAAAATTATGGGTAGGGTACAACACCCCCCTCCCCCCCCCCCCCCCCCCCCCCTAAATGTTCCCTGTGGTTATGTTTGGCGAGCTATTGAGGATCATCCTCAGTCTGACTATTCATCTGTCTCTCACACACACATCACAGATGCCAGTAATTGTGTTTTTTTACTGGGGTTGGAGGGAATTCAAGTTTTGACACCTGTAAACCTTCCCTAAATTTTACCACAGTGTACTGCATTGCCAGATCATTTTAAAATTGATAGTAGGGGAGCTGGAGGGAGAATACGATTGA